GATGCTGCGCTGGGCGGTTTTACTGGGCGATGGAGGGAGGAGAGCTGCGTGGGTTGGCTGGGACAGTGCTGCCTTGCTCTGGGGGACGTGCAGTCCCGGGGGGTCCTCCCGGGGCTGTGTGGGACTCCCCCCCCGCCCTTTCCCACGCACCGTGGCTACACTCCCCTCTGGCCATCAGAGAGTTAAGTTACGGTACCAAAAATACATTTGTATGCAGCCCCAGTGGCCTAATGGATAAGGCACTGGCCTCCTAAGCCAGGGATTGTGGGTTCGAGTCCCATCTGGGGTGACTCTTTTCCCTTCGGGGGATCTACGCCGTCTCCGGGTGTACCCCGGTTTGGGGGGTTTGTTGCTGCGGTTAGGGGGGACTCAGTCCTTTCTGGGGCACCCCCCGGCCCCTGGGTCAGGAATCTGGGGGTTTTTGGTGTAAAAACATGTGCAATCTTGGAATACGCTTTTAACCCCCGAAACGTGCGGCTCCTCTGAACCCTGGTGTCGTGTGCTGGCTCCGAGGCTTTCAGGAAAATTTTGCAAATCTTGTTGTAAAATCTAGGGGGGGGACGCCTGAGCAGTAGGTGATAGGTGGCAGTCAGGTCTCCTGGTCACAGGAGATCTCAGCTGAGGTTGTTGCTGTCCCCATTGATGTTTGTGTGATGACTTTCAGTGTCAGAAATAAGTCTGAAGTCTAAGGGCCAGAGCACAGACCCCTTTGCCTGTGAGAGGGGGAGCTGGCAGCCCCCCCTACCCCCCGCCACGCAGAAAGCTTTAGGCAGGATCCTGGGAGGGATATCAAGATGCATCAGTGTGCTCCTGCACCCCTCCAGGCAGCCCATTTTGGGGAGAATGTGGGATTTGAGCTCTCTGCTTTTTGCAAATGTAACTGCTGACCTGGGCTGTGTAAGGGGAGAGCTCAAAAGTCCCCCCCTTCTAAAGGGGAAGCGAGCACTGCACACCTTGCTGTGCCCCAATTAAACCCCAGGGACCAGCAGAGAGCACTTTCCTCTTTTATTTGGGTTTTTGCCTAAAACAGAACCACCTACTCCTCACCCCAGGTGGGACTCGAACCCACAATCCCTGACTTAGAAGGCCAGTGCCTTATCCATTAGGCCACTGGGGCCCTGTGAGAATATGAAAAAAGGGTAATTTCATTGTCTTTGAGACATGCTTTTGGTGCTACCAGAGAGCAACTGCCTCCTGCCAAATTCCTGCCACGGCTTTAGGTTAATTTAGCAAAATGACATGCACTTTTTTTGGTTAGGAAAAAAAATCAACTAAAATGGAAGGAAAGTGCTTGAAATGGTGAATACTTTATTTGCTACTTAGATATGTAGGATGTAGATATGTACTCTACCCCTTCTTTCCCCCCAGATCTACTGCTGTTTTTGTGTTCAGCAGCAGAGGGTGCTCTCATAGAGCAGAGGGATGGATGAAGGACACAAAGTATTAAAAAAAAAGTAGCTGACAAAAATCTGAATTTTTAGTTTCTCTCTAACATGAACAATAATTTTTCTGCAAAATGATTGACAGGTTGTCACAGTGTAACATTAGTTTCAAAAGGAGTTGTTAAATGTTTTTATTTACACTTTCAGACCGTTTTTATTCAATATAGCTCATGAGTTTTGCATCATCTACAGCTACCAACGCCATGTCTTTAAAAAGACAGTATGCCAAGGACTTCGGTCTCTGCTGTTCTCAGTCGAAGTCTGCCTTCCTGCTCTGTTTTATATTTGAGTGTATCTTTTTCTGTCGTAGTCGTTCACGGTTCATTTTTTCCACCCTAAAACAAAATTAAAAGATCCTTTAGTGTATAAAGAAACCATTTAAATATTCAACTTTGAGCACAGATATAATGTAGATCTGATGAGCCAACAAATGTCCACGGATAGAAAAAAGTCCCTGTTTGTGGGATACTACCCAGGAAAGCAGTTAAAATCTAACAGACCAGTGATTTTTTTTTTATAAAGGAAATCCAAATGAGTATGAAGATTGTTTAAAAATCCTGCAAACTAAATCATGTAACATGATAATCTGAATCCATCTCAAATAAAGGCCTTTTCGATAAAGATACCTCTCTATGAGCTTCTGTGTTGTCTCCTTAGATACCACCTTGGGCTTCTCGGTAGCCTCCGAGACCATGGTTCTGATTTTTTCTAAGCAAATCGCCAGATTCCTCATTTGGTAGCGACTCTCTTCAGAGTTCACAATCAACTCACCAGCTCGGTTTATCTTATTCCTGTGCTAAAGAGGAGAAAACGTGATGTGATCATTGAAACCTTGTTAGACTTGTCACATGCTGTCTGAAAGTGTGACATTTAAACTGTGGCTGGAACTGGGGGGAGGTTAGTTACCATCGATGCCATTTTTTGTCTCACAGCTTCTGGAATCCAGTCTGCTGATGCCAGGTGGAACCGAACTTCTGCCTTGGTATTCACTGGGAGGAAAAACAGGATCTTTTTTCAATGTAATGGCTTGCTTTCCTAAGTTTTATGAAATAATTCAGCCTGTTCACTGCTGGCTTTGAACATAGGATGATTCCAGTATTCATTTCCTGAAAGACTGTAATTTTTTTCTTGCTGTATTTTTGAATACCACTCTAAAGACAAACTCAACATATTTATGGAGACTGTGTCATGGTATTTGCCTTTCTAGAAGCTACAAGATTTATTGCTGTTGCCAGTCACTACCTACCTTATTTTTAATGGCAATGGCGGAACAGGAAGTATTTTTAGAGTTAAGCTGAGAATTTATTGCACTGTGAAGCTTCAGAATACAGGTGGCTGCTTGTATGTTTGATCAATGAAAACAGATTAGATAGAGGTGGTGTTTCACGTGGCGTGTGTAGCAGCAATGATCCCAGTAAGAGCGTTTCTGGGAGAACCAAATATGTTATAACTGGTCTTGAGCACTACGTAGACTTGGACGTTGTGTTAAAACGTAGGGTAAGGATAATGAAAAATTAGCATCGGGCAGCACAAGGATGCTCTTTAACTTCCAATTCTCCATGTTTTACCACAAAGTATAGAGGAACAACTGAAGACTGTGATTTCTCCTTCAAAGTGGGAGAACCTCCTCCTCACCTTTATTAACGTGCTGCCCCCCAGGGCCGCTGCTCCGGCAGTAGGATACGGTCAGGCGAGCTGGAAGAGAACAGCAGCGTGCTGACCCGGAGACCTGTCCCCAGCTGGTTTTGCAGCAGGGAACGGGGATGATCCAGGCTGCAGCACGCACGCCCGAAGGACGCCCGTGACTCGGTTGTGCTTTCGCTCAGGAGTTCAGCTCCGTGCGCTGAGCACGAGCCCCGTAGGCCGTGGCCTCACCCACCTCCGGGTGCTCAACCGGGACAGGCCCAGCTGAGCACCCTGGCCCGGGTCCGTTGTGGTGGTGGGAGACTCACCCAGGGGGATGTCGAGGGTGGCCGGTTGCGGCTCCTCCTGGAAAACACGGCGGGGTGCCCGCGTCAGGCGCTGGGGCGAGGCCCGGCTGGCCCCGCCCACCCGCGACGGCACCGCCCCTTCTTATCAGCCCCGCCCACCCGCAATAACAGCCCCTTGTGCTAAGTCCCGCCCACGCGCGATAGCCCTGCCCCTTGGCATAAACCCCGCCCATCCACTTATGTCACTCAGGCGCTAAGCCCCGCCCC